ATCATCATCATCATCATCATCATCATCATCATCATCATCATCATCATCATCATCATCATCATCATCAGCATCAGCATCATCATCATCATCATCATCATCATCATCATCATCATCTGCATCATCATCATCATCATCATCATCGTCAGCATCAGCATCATCATCATCATCAGCATCATCATCAGCAGCATCATCATCAGCATCATCATCATCATCATCATCATCATCATCATCGTCAGCATCATCATCAGCAGTAGCATCATCAGCATCCGCATCCGCATCATCATCATCAGCAGCATCATCATCATCGTCATCATAGTCATCATCCTCATCCTCATCCTCATCATCATCAGCAGCATCATCATCAGCAGCAGCACCACCACCACCACCACCACCATCATCATCATCATCATCATCATCATCATCATCATCATCGTCCTCTCCCTTTGTTTGCCTCGACGTCCTCCCGCTGCTGGGCTGGCGTCATTATTTCCAGCGCCATGCCACGGCATGGTTTCGGTCCTTCCAAATAGGCCCCAAAATCTAGAAAATGCACCCCAAAAAAACCATCGGACGTGATTACACATTCGGTGTCGATTCGTTGATGTTCTGTGCCGCAGAAGCCCCACACCACTTTGGGGGCGTCGCCACGCCATGCTATCTCAGGCTGCGCGTCCTCATTTCCGCGCTTCCGCGCTGAGTTTCGTTCAAAATGCTAATTTAGCTGAAGCGCTGGCCTCATTTTCGGGCTACCGCTCGTTCCGAATCGTGTTCCCGCAGCAGCGCTGGCGTCATTATTTCCAGTGCCATGCCACGGCATGGTTTTCGGTCCTTCCAAATAAGCCCAAAAATATAAAGAATGGCCTCCCGAAGAAACCATCGGAAGTGATTTCACATTCGGTGTGGATTCGCTGATATTCTGGGCCGCAGAAGCCCCCCCCCACTTTGGGGCGTCGCCACGCAACGCTATGTCAGGCTACGCGTTAAGCTTCAACACCATGGTATGCCATGTAATGCTATGCCATGCTACGACATCCGATTGTGCGAATGGAGAGAAGATCTGCGCCATGGTAAGGGATGGGAGGGAGGGATAGGACGTCAGACATAACGAGAGCGCACCTAGCTTGTCCCCCTCCCCATCCCCCCCCCTCCTCCTCCTCCTCCTCCTCCTCCTCCTCCTCCTCGTCATCCTCCTCCTCCTCCTCCTCCTCCTCCTCCTCCCTCCCTACCGCGCGGGCGAAGACGAGGTCGGGATCACGATCCTCCGAAAGTTAGACCACTTGCTGAACTGCCGCGAGGTGTGAACTCGACCTCTTTCCTAACGCGCGGACGAAGACGAGGTCGAGTTCACGAGCCGTCCTTATCAGACCACCTGTCCAGAATGCGCCGTTCCTACACTCAGCCTCATTCCTGCCGCGCCGCTGCACAGGCACGGTGGCGAGGCTTGCCGCAGGCAGCAGGACAAACCGATGCACGTTCCAGGATGTCCCGCATCATCCCATATTTCCAGGCTTCGGGCTGCGCACAGGCAGCCCCCCAGGTAGTCCCGGCTGGCCTCGACTCGGCGACGAGCGAGGGAGGCGAGCGAGAAGGAGCGGCCCTCCTCAGAAGGCTCGGAAGCCCCCCCAAGCTTCCCCGAAGCCAGACATAACCTTCCTGGACCTTCCCACGTTCCATGATTGCCCACATTTAAAGGGGCCCCAGAACACACAAATAAATACACACAAATAAAAAGATTCCCCATACTTCCCCATATTTTCTGGGTTTCTGTGTTCCCCCCCACTTCCCATATTTTCGCGTATTTTCTGGGAATCGCCGATTAATTGTGTCTGTGTGTTTTTTCCCCTCCTGAACATTGTTCCCGTTCTTCTTCTTCCTCTTTCATGTGTGTGCCGATGCTCCCCTCCCGGGGGGGGAAGCCGCCCGTGCGCAGCCCGCGTGCCCCCCCCCCCGGGCGACCCCGCCGCCTGCTCGACCAGGCCGCTGCGCATGTCCTCCGGGGAAGAACCACAAAGTCCCGATGCCGATGGGCCTGCTTTCCACCACCACCACCATCAGGAGGAGGACGAGGAGGAGGACGAGGAGGAGGACGAGGAGGAGGAGGACGAGGAGGACGAGGAGGAGGAGGACGAGGAGGACGAGGACGAGGACGAGGAGGACGAGGACGAGGACGAGGGGGGAAGGAGGAGGACGAGGAGGACGAGGGGGGAAGGAGGAGGACGAGGAGGAGGACGAAGAGGAGGAGGAGGAGGTGGAGGACCCCCTCCCCCTCCAACTTATGGTGGTGGTGGTGGAAAACAAGCCCTGACCTAGGGAACGACAGATCCTGAACGCAGCCCCTGTTCTTTTCCGCGCGAGGCCGGGAAGTCCGAAGGAACACCAGGGGGGATCGCCGCCAAAGAGGTGGCGGGACGCAGGCAGACCCAAGGAACGACGACCGAGAGCCCCGTTTGAAAAAGCAGGTGCTCCTCATGCCAGCCGGACCCTGTGCCGCTGCTCCCCGGACCTCTCCCGGGGGCGCCTGCGCGGACCGGCAGCTCGAGGCGAGCCCCGCCGTGGCGACGAGGGCCTCCCGGGAGGCCCCCCCCCAAAAAAAGCGAAAAAGCGAGACGAGGGCAGCGGCATCTACAAGCGAGGCAAACCTGCCTCGCTCCCAAAGGATACCGAACGATACCAGGAAGCGACAGCGGTTCTGGTATCGATTGCCAGGAGCGACACCAGGAAACGATTATCGGGAGCGGCAAAGAGGGGGGCGTCAAAGAGGGGGGGTGCAAATCATGACCTGCGGCATGTGCGCGGCCCAGCGGGGGGGCCAGGGACGTAATGAAATAAGGAGAGGCGCCATGAAATCTGGGGAAATATCATGGCCCACGCCATGATATCCACCCCCCCTGTTCATCACCCCCCTCTTTTGACCTACCCCGCTTCCAAAAGCTACCTTCGTGGCATGACTGGGTTTTTGAAGGGGAACTGGGACACACAAATAAATACACACAAATAAAAAATCCCACACTTTCCCATACTTTCTGGGTTGTTGTCCTCCCCCCCACTTCCCATATTTCCCCATCTTCTCCTGGGAGTCGACGATCAATTGTGTCTGTGTGCTTTTTCCCCTCCTGAGTTTTGTCTGGACGCGACCGCGGGACAGGCACTGCACGCCCTGCGCGCCGGCACCCTTCCCCGGGCCTGGGCACACCAACACAGGGGGTTGCCTCCACATGGGGAAGACGGTCCTAGATTTCGGTGTTGGTGGCAATACTTCGGCCACCTTGGAAGCCAGAACATTACCACCATCACCGAGATCGGGATCTTCCTCGCTCGGTAGATGCACACCGCCGATCTTGGTGCTGGTGTCAATCTCTGGGCCTGCGAGCTTTGCCTGGAAGCGAAAGCGGGGCAGGCACTCCACGCCCCGAGCGCCGGCACCCTTTTCCCGTGGCCGGGGTCCTCGGGCGCGAGCCGCGCCGTCCGCTGCACCGACCACGCGCCGGCCTCGCCCCGGCCGCCGCCGGCGCCGTCGGCGCCGGCGCCCGCCTGCGGAGGCCGCCGGCGGCCGCGCGGGGACGGGTCCGTCCGCGAGGCAGCCAGCCAGCGAATGCACCAGCCCAGCCGCCCAGACTGAAGGGGCCCAAGGGCACACAAATAAATACACACAAATAAAAAGATTCCCCATATTTTCCCATATTTTCTGGGTTTTTGTCTTCCCCCGCAACTCCCATATTTTCCAATATTTTCTGGGGAATCGTCGATTAATTGTGTCTGTGTGTTTCTTTCCCTCCTGACAGACCCCCTCGAACCGCGAAAGAAAATCACGACGGGATCTTGTTGCTCGCCGTTTGCGGCCGCCGGGGCCTCGGGGCCGTCAGAAGACGACGCGGGATGAAGAGCAGGGCCCGGGGAATGGGTGGAGACCTCTGGGGGTCGAAGTTCTAAAAAAACACGACGTCGGGGGCGTGGGGACAAAGCCAGGCTGCCAACCAACCAACCAGCCAACGAGTCAGTCGACCGACCGACCAGCCAACACGCCGCCCTGCTGGCCCGCCACCAGCCAGCCAGCCAATCAGCGAGGCAACAAGCTGGCCCAAGATGGCTCCAAGTGGCCCTCCAGGAGGCCTGGAGAATTCCCATATTATCGTTCACGTGTTTTCCTGTTCCCACCAATTCAGGCTTCCGACTTCCGACTGCCCAAGACGGCTCCAGAGGCCTCAAAGACGGCCAAGAGACTTCTACGACGGCCCAGAGAGTCCCCCAAGACGGCCTCCGCAGGCATCAAACGGGCCAAAAGAGCCCCAAGACGGTCCGACAGGCCCCCGAAAGTCCCCAAGAGGCCCCAGAGAGCCCTCCAGGAGGACCCTCAGAGGCCCCGAAGAGTCGAGGGAACGAGGTCGAGCTTTTAAGGTCTCATGACGTGGACCTCCCGAGACCTGGACCTCTTCTCCCGGACCGGCTTGCCATCCCGACCCGGTTTTGCCGGTCCTGGGGCCTGGGGAGGGCCCCCTGGGGCCGAGAACTACCAAAAACCTCCCGTCTTGGTTTCTCTTCGCGACGAGGGGAGGCGAGGGTGCTCGGGGCCCCATCCCTGAAGGCCCCTTCTTGGAACCCCCGATCGATCCGCCCCCCCCCCCCGAGGGGGCACTGGCTCCGGGGTGGGAATCGAGCTCCGACGGATCGGCGATAGACCCCCGATAGCGAGACCGCACGCTCCTGGGCGGGGAGGGCTGCCGTCGGGGCGTTGACCTGAGGAACCCAAACTGAGGAACGAGGCCCCTTGTCTCCAGGAGTGAAGCTTCGACTTCCCGTCGAAAACCCCAGGAAACCCTGAGGCAAACTGTGAAGCAGTCAAGGAACGCCGAGCGCCTCCCCAACGAAAAGGGCTCCTTCCTCAGCGCCCCGACTGCATCGCGCCCCCATCGGCGATCACGGTCGGCGATTTTGGGGGTCGGTGGCGGCGTTCGGGCGACAGCTCGGGCCTCCGGCGGGCGTTCCTGGACGAGCCGAGGCATCCCCGGAGACGCCGTCGGCGGGGCGCCGCCGCGGGACAAGCAGCCCTCAGCCTGGAGAGCCGCCGCGAACCAACGTAATGAACGTCCGAGAACCTCGGACCTCGAGCCTCGAACCTTCGTTGCCCCCGAGGACCACGCGGCGTGGTCCTCGGGGGCAACGAAGGAGGAGGCTCGAGGTCCGAGGACCACGCCGCGTGGTCCTCGGGGACCACGCGTCACGCCTCCTCGGACCGAGGCCGCGTCCGAGGAGGCGTGACGCCTCCTCGGACGCGGCCTCGGACTCGGACCTGCCGGTGCACACCGGCGGGAGCGCTGCCGGCGGGCGCGGCGCCGGGGCGTGAAGCGAGAGCGGCGCCGTGGGATGCCGTGTGAGGTGCGGCCGCGCCGTGTGCATCGGCGGCCTGTGCGCATGTCCGCACGACGAGGCCGAGGCATCGTCTGCAGGGGGAAGAGAGAACGCACGAAGGGAGAGGGGGAAGCACGGCGAGCGAGGACGAGGGTGGAAGCCGAAGGAGAGCGAGAGGGGGAGGGGACGGACGCCGCCTCACTCTCCTTGGGAAGACATGTTAGCCAGCGTGGACCCCAAACGGTGATTTCTCGCAACACACGCGGTGCAATCTAGGTGGTGGAGTCGATGTGGTGCAGTCTAGGTGGTGTATCCATGCGGTGCACTTTATGTGGTGCAAAGTAACGCATTGCAATGCATAGCGATGCAGAGCAATGCAAAGCAAAGCAATACAAAGCCGTGCTAAGCAATGCACAGTAATGCAAAGCAATGCAAATCAACATGAAGCAACGCAAGGCAATGCGAAGCAATGCAAAGCAAAGGAAAGCAAAGCAAAGCAGAGCAATGCACGGCAAAGCCATGCAAAGCACTGAACAGCAATGAACAGCAATTCAAGGCCAAAAAGAGCAATGCAAACCAAAGCAATGCGAACCAATGCAAAGCGATGGAATGCAGTGCAAAGCAATGCGAGGCAATGCAAAGCAATGCAAAGCAATGTAAAGCAATGCACAGCAATGCAAAGCAATGCAAAGAAATGCAATACAAAGCAACGCAAAGCAATGCACAGCAATGCAAAGCAATGCAAAGCAATGCAGAGCAATGTAATTCGATGCAATGCTAAGCAATGCAAAACAATGCTAAGCAATGCAAAGCAATACAAATCAATGCAAGGCAAAGCAAGGCAAAGCAATGCAAAGCAATGCAACACATAGTAATGCAATGGGATTCGAAGCAGCGCACAGCCAGATCGCCACTACCTGAGTACACAAGTAAGAACCCCTGAGCGCAAGCACTGTTAAAGAAAAACTGTATGAACATAAATGTACGGAGCTCCGAGCGGATCTCTTTGATCGGCGCTGGACCCCCCTCCCCGGCGCGCGGAGCGCGCCAGGGGCCGTGATGGAGGCGCAGGGGAGGGTATTCAGCGCTGGTCCAAGAAATCCGCACGGACTTCAGAAAGTGCACAGTCAAAATCCATAATGGGGCAAGGTAAGCATGCAAGACCTTCAAAGTCCCGTTTTTCCATTTAGAGCTCCTTGGACGTCAACATCGGCTCAGGATGGGCCGAAGAAGCAGGGATGCATAGGTAGCCTTGATGACGCAGCGAATCCTTACTATGGATTTTGATTGCACATTCCCCGACATCCAGCGCTCCATTCTTGTCGGTGCCGGGACCCCCAGAGGTCTGGACCACTTCCGAAGGGTCGGTTTTTCGCCCTGAGCCGCTTTGTTGACGGTCCTGGGGCCTGCCCATCGGTCGGAAGATGTGGGTAGAAACATGAAGTAGGAAGGCGTTGAAAGTAGATTGGGTTCGGTCCGCCCTTCTGGGAGGACGGGAAAGGTGAAGCCGCTCGATCATTGAACTAGGAAGGCGCTTAAAGTAGATTGGAATCTGGGAATCCCAAAACAACTACTTTCAACGACCGATGGGTGGGGAGGACCGCTGGAGGCCGAACATTGCCAGAAGCTGGCAGCTTCGATCCTTCCAGAGCCTCGCACCCCCTGCGTTCCTGCCCCTTGCCTGTCTTCTCCGAGGCCGGTCGGCCCGAGGCGGGCGACGCCTGCCCTGCCCCGCTGCCCGACCACTCGGCCCTCGGCCCGCCGGGGGCCGGGCCGCGGCCGAGGCTCGACGCTCGAGGCTCGAGGACTCCAGGAGGACCCCGCCCCCCCGCGCCGCCAAGAGACCACAGAGCAGGAGGAGCAGGGAGGAGCGAGGAGCCAGCGAGCGAGCGAGGAGCGCGGAGCGGCGAAGAGCAGCAGGGACGAGGAGGAGCGAGGCAGAGGAGGAGGAGCGAGGAGCGAGGAGGAGGACTCCTCGCTCTCCTCCGACGATTGCCCCCCCCAGCGCCTCCGGCCGGCGCCCGAAGGCCGCTGGCGCCGCGCCGCCTGGAGCCGCCGCATGCGGGGGGGCGCTGGGGGCCTCTCGGGGGGGGGGGGGGGGCGAAGGTACAATCCCCGAGCCCCCCTATGATGCCCAAGCCCGCCCCGCTCCCCTCGCCGCCCCCTCCTCCCTCCCATCCCCCCCTCCCCACCCACCCTCCTCTCTTACCCGTCGTCGGCCCCGCCCGTCACCTTCCACCCTCCACCCTCCGCCCTCCACCTCCAGCTCCTCCTCCTCCTCCTCCTCCTCATCCTCCTCTTCCTCTTCTTCCTCCTCCTCGTCCATCATCATCATCATCATCATCATCATCATCATCACCACCACCACCACCATCATCATCATCATCATCATCATCATCATCATCATCATCATCATCATCATCATCATCATCATCATCATCATCATCGCCATCGCCATCATCATCCATCATCCATCATCCATCATCATCATCATCATCATCATCATCATCATCATCATCATCATCATCATCATCATCATCATCATCATCATCATCATCATCATCATCATCATCATCATCATCATCTTAATCATACTCATCATCATCATCAGCATCAGCATCATCACCACCACCACCATCATCATCATCATCATCACCATCATCGTCATCACCACCACCATGATCATCAGAATCGTCATCAGAATCATCATCATCATCGTCATCATCATCGTCAGCGTCATAGTCATCGAAATCAGCATCAGCATCATCATCATCATCATCGTCATCGGCATCGTCATCGTCATCATCATCATCATCATCATCATCATCATCGTCGTTGTCGTCGTCGTCGTCGTCGTCGTCGTCATCGTCACTGTCATCGTCGTCGTCGTCATCCTAATCATCATCAGCATCATCAGCATCAGCAGCAGCATCAGCAACGGCATCAGAATCAGACTCATCATCATCATCACCCTCATGATCGCCATCAGAATCACTATCATCATCATCGTCATCATCATCATCGTCCTCCTCGTCCTCCTCCCGCTCTTCCTCCTCGTCCTCGTCACAGTCACCATCACCACAATCATTATCGTCATCATCGTCAACATCGTCATCATCATCGTCGTCCTCGCCCCCGTCATCCCATCATCATTGTAATTGTCGTCGTCGTGGTCATCATCATTATCATCATCATCATCATCATCATCATCATCATCATCATCACCAGCATCATCATCATCATCAATCACGCTCCATCATCATCATCATCATCATCATCATCATCATCATCAGCATCACCAGTTTCCTCATGATTATCATTATCATCCTCGTGATCATCATCATCATCAGCATGATCATCATCGTCATCATCAACATCATCGTCATTATTATCATCGCCAGCAGAATCACCACCATCACCATCACCAGCATCATCATCATCATCGTCATCATCATCATGATCAGAATCATGATGAACGTAATCAATATCATCAACGTCATCATCATAAACATCTTCTCCTTCATCATCATTATTATCATCATCACCATCATCATCATCATCATCATCATCATCCCCATCATCATCGTCGTCATCATCATCAGCATCAGCATCATCATCATCAGCAGCAGCCGCATCGTCATCATCATCATCATTATCATCGTCATCGTCTTCACCATCGTCATCATCATCATCATCAACGTCATCGTCACCATCATCGTCGTCATCATCATAATTATCATCATCAGCATCATCATCATCATCACCATTGACATCGACATCGACATCGACGTCGTCATCATCATCATCATCATAATCATCATCCGTCGCCCCCATACATGTCCGGGTGTGGTCGAGAAGGCAGGGCGTAGTCAGAAGGGCAACTGCAAGGCTCATGTCTGCCAAGCGGTAACCAGTCCCAAGCCCGTCTACACAAGCACCTGCTATCGACGTCCTCATCCTCCTCCTAATCATCATCATAATCACTTTCATCACCATCATTATCTTCGTCATCGTCATCGTCATCGTCATCCTCACCATCATCATCAGGATCATGACAAACATCATCATCATCATCATCATCATCATCATCATCATCATCAACATCATCAACATCATCATCATCATCACCATCCAAAACATCACCATCACCATTATCATCATTTTCATCATCATCCAAATCGCTGTCACAAGTGAAATCCCCGCCGGCCGCATGCAAGACTGGGTGCGGTCGGGAAGGCTGGGCGTGGTCAGAAAGGCAACTGCAAGGCTCATGTCTGCTAATGGTGTAACCAGTCCCGAGCCCGTCTACACAAGCCGCTGCTATCGACATCCTCAGCCTCACCCTAATCATTATCGTAATCATCATCAGAATCACCATCACCACCACCATCATGATCATCATCATCATCATCATCACCACCACCACCACCACCATCATCATCATCATCATCATCATCATCATCATCATCATCGTCATCATCATCATCATCATCATCATCATCATCATCATCATGATAACGATCATTCAAACGATCACCATCGCCACCGTCATCAGCATCACAACTACCGCCATCACAAACACTCTCATCCTCATGTTAGTCGTCGCCCTCAAAACCATCAGCAGTTCCATCGTGACCATTCTCAATTTCAATATGACCATTAACATTGCCACCACCATCATCAACATCAGCATCGTCGTTATCATCGCCACCATCACAAAATCACCAGTACAACCATCGACATCGCCATCATCTGCATGACCAAAACCACAATCGTAGCCGTGTTCATCATCATTATCATCATCGTCCTGATTGTCGTTGGAATCATCGGCACCATCACCAAAATATTCGTCATAACCATCACCACCACCTTCATCATCAAAACCGCCATCATCATCAGCATCGTGATCGCCATCATCATGATCAACACCCACGCAGAATCGGCATCGTCATCACCATCATCACCATCAGCAGCAGCATTATCGTCGTCATGATCACCGTAATCATCATCATCATCATCATCATCATCATCAGCATCGTCAGCACCTGAACCATTATCATGATCAATAGCATCATCATCACCACCACCAGCAGCACCAGCATGATCGTCGTCATCGTCATCACCAAGATCATCAACGTCAACATCGCCAACATCATCGTCGTCGGCATTATCTTGGTCGTTGTCACAATCGTCATGATTCTCACAATCGTCATCATCATCAACAACAGCATCATCACCATCGTCATCATGACCGTCCCCAAGAATTAGCATAACAACCATCACCATTACCGTCGCCACCATCATCAGCATCACCATCAGCATGCTCATAATCAGCGAAATCATCCTTATCATCATCGTCATCACCATCAACATCGTTCACATCATCATCAACGGAAAAATCAGCATCATAATCATTACTGGCATCACAACAGTCATTAGCATCACCCCCATCACCATCACCATCGTCGTCGTCATCATCACCAGCCTCATTATGATAGTCATCATCGTCAGCAACATTATCATCATCACTGATCATAACCACCATCACCGTCATCATAAATACTGGTAGGACAATCATCCGCGCCGTCGCCATTATCACCATCGCCATCATCGTCGTCATCAGCGCAATCGCCATGACGTTGATGATAACAGTCATCATCACCACCAGCATCACCATCATCATCACCGTCATCACCATCATCACCACCGCCAAAATAACAACAATATGTATTATCATTATCATCACCGGCAGCAGTATCAGCGATTATTCTGTGCAGCGGCCGCACGGCGCCCATCCGACATGCCTGAACGCGCGTGCACACGTCGAACGCTGGCCGCTTGAACAACCAACTATGTCAGACAGTGCCTCGGGAGACCGTGCGAGAGCTAAGGGAGGGTGGAAAACATCCACCCACCTCGATGCCTTTTATTCGGCCACGCGCTCATGTCTCAGCCACAGCCGCGTGACCCCGCGGGCTGCGAGGGCGCCCGCAATACACGGGAGGGAATGCACCGCGGCCCTGACTGCAGGAGAGTAGCCCAGGAGGTGAAATCCAAGGACGAACTCCATAATCAGCACAGTGAGCATACCAAGCTGCAGATTCAGTCGCCAAACCATCACAACTTTGCTGTCGAGAGCGCCGGCAAGCGCCGCGGAAGGCATCGGCACCGCCCCAGGCCAACGAAGCAGCGTTGACCGCGCGAGCGGGCCACGACCGTAGAGTCAATCCCGGCTGGGATTCTTGCAGCGTAGACCAGACCGCTGCCGCGCACCTGAAATTCCGAATCGGCCCGCAGATGCATGCACAGGCGGGCGCAGTCGGAGCAGAAAGACTGAGATACACCGATGGGATCGTAGACGCACCTGCCCCAATGGATCACATCCTGGCGCGAACGGGAGGCGAACTGGAAGCCGTGCTCCGCGAGCCCCCAGGCAACTCCACCACCCCTGTCTGAATCGAAAAGAAACTCCCCTGCCCCGAGGTGGACCGATACAGCGGCAGCAGACATCACTCCACCCATCACTAAACTTTGCGTCTGGACAACTTTCAACCCCAGGCATGCCTCGCCACGAGCGCGCGCAACATCTGCTCAAATGTGACCTCGCACCAGCCTGGCCGGAACCCCTCGCTCGGATTCTGGCACGGAGACACGGCCACGTTTCAGGAGCAGCGAGGTCGAGCCATATGCCTCGACCGCGGCGGTCGACAACTGAGACCAATCTTGCCCGAAGGCCGACGACTCACAGGCCGCGAACGCTCGATCGACGTCGGAGACTGCCACGCCCACGCGGTCGCGCAGATCCCACCCGTAACGGCAACAGCTCGTGGAAAAGCGATTGGAAACTCGCGCCAAAAGGGACTCGACAGCACCACCGGCACACGCCATCTTGAACACCTCGTGCGAGCACCACCTTTGGAACAGGACCCCGCGGATAGCACGAGCAATTGTCCTCGACCCTGCCTTGGGCGGGGCGCGGCTGAAATCAATGATACACCGCCAACAGCTATGACTAGCTGTCGTGCAAGCCCTCACCCCGCCATCATTAATTATAGCACTTGCTCTGCACCTGAAAGAACAAACGAGGAGGCTGATCGGCGTCGCCTCCAACGCGCAATAGATGATGTGGAAATCCAAAGAGAGAGCGAGCATGCATCCACGCCATGGCGTCGCTGGGGGACAGCGGCACGAGCTTCCAACCAGGATCGGTGATCATACCGCTCAGCATGTTCAAGAAACCCTCATCCGAATTAACTTGCCAAAACTTTGACGGATTGTGGTCATCACGTGCGAGATACCCGCCGGACGTGCAAGCTTAACTCACGTTGTGATCCACGGTTTCCCACGCCTGCGGCACAGGAGGAATACGATACTTGTCAATGAAGTGCGCAATCGCATTACGGCCTTCACCTCGGACACGTGGATGTACATGAAATGCGCAAAACTATCTATCCCAAGCAAGTCCATGAGCAGGTCGGCCAGATCGGTAAACGCCACTGAAGACCACCAGTGGCATTCAACGACGGAGTGCGACTGGCCGTGTCTGCCAGCTGGTAGTCAGCATGACCACCGAAGTCTGGCCCAGAGAAAGAAGCAAGCGTCTGCTTACCGTTGACCTTCTGCACCCATCTATTTGGGGGGCAGGGCGAAAATGAAGGTGATCACGAGGCCACCGCCGCGCAAATGCTGGTCGCACTCGCTGAAGAGACTTGGGGCGATGACCCGGAGCGCCCGCACAGACTCGCAAAAAGACAGTTGGGACCTCCAGCGGAAGAACGTGCAACCTCCGCAATAAGAAACCCATATTTTTGCGAGCCTGAAACTGCGAACGTCTGCCTCGCAATACAACCGGAACTTCGCGTAGAGCTCCGCATGAGTCGGATAAGTTGTGTACGCACTGGCAACAGGCTGGAAGTGGCGTTACCTCATGTTCGCTGACAGGTTATCCCCCTCTCCCGTGTCCAGAGCGGGCATACCCGATGTCTGCGACAGTGAGTCACCGTGAGTGAGGCCTCTTCTGTGCCGCCGTTCCCTTTTTTTCTGTCGTTGGGTGCACGTCTGGCGACCGCAGCGACTCTCCCGGCTTCCTCTTCGCCTCGCTTCCGTGTGTCTCGGCCAGAGTTTGGCGCCGACAGGGCGACTCCTCCGTGCTGCTACAGTTCGATCCGTGCGCCTTGCCCCTCTTCTTGGTGTGTGGTTCGGCTGGAGCTTGGCGCCGTCCGGGCGACTTCTCCCTCCCGTCCGCCGCCGGTGCCGCGCCTGCGTCCCCATCCGCTGGGATGATTGCGCCGGTCACCCCCAATGAGGGTCACTTTGTCCCTTGCATGTGCACTCGCCTCGCCTCAGCGGCCTACGTACCTCTGCGGCCAATTATCTCGCTCTGTGTCCCAGCCGTGAAGCCCGCTCTCTGGACGTCTCCTTGGAGCCGCGAACCAAAAAAAGTAGAGCTCCGCACAACAAATCTGCATTCTCCTCGAAGCTCCAAACTGGATCATGAAGACTTGCATCCCGCTTCGAACACCACGAAAAAAAAAGGCATGGAGCCAAGAACGAATTTCGTTCGAAGGGCCGATGGTCCCCGTCGTGGCCAGTACCTCCCTCTGGAAATCGCTGTACAAGCCACGAAACGCACCTCCAACCTGTGGCACTGGAGGCAGGTCGAATCGAGCAGACGCCTTTGCAATAGAACCCTGAAAGAATGGTAAAGCCCGGAGACTTGCAACACAACCCCGCACCAACGAAATCTGGGTAACGGCCGGCCACGATGAAGATTCCGAGAAGGGCGAACAGCTTCTGCAAGGCAACGGTGTTGGCGGTATGCTTGGGAATCTGCCCAGTTTGCAGGTGGTTGTACTGTACGTATGGTGGCGGTCTCGATTGCCAGCGCTCGGGACTCAGACCCAACACTGACCAAAGGCAGGAAGCACAAGCTCCCGACAGACCGCGCAATGAATGATATCGCTGGAGATGCCCGTCACGACTGCCTGGACGGAACACTCCGCGCAGATGCTCCGCGAACCTGGATTTGAGGCCCAGCTGCCCATTAGCCCGGCGCCCGTTGGCCTTGCCGACGTAGAGCGTGGAGTGACAGAAGAGGGCATACACGTGACTGCCTCGCGAATCCTCTCCAGAAACTGCGCAACGAACGGCAATTTCCAAAACGCCACCCACGTGCGCAACAGTCTCAGCAACGTCGGCAGGAAGAAGGCGGAGTACTCGACGCGCCACTGCGGGAAGGGCCCGGCGAGCGTGTGATTCGTGAAGGGCTCTGCGAAGGCGTGCTGCAGCAAGTGTAACAAACAGCTAGCGAAGATTCGTATCGCAGTGATCCTGTCGCCGTT